GTACATGTCAGTCACAGTTGTTACCTTGTTTTTAAAGAGATTCCAATTTTCCTCAACTGTTCTTTGATAAAAGTTGATATGAAAAGTATCATAAAACTGTTGAAGATTTCTATTAATTGTATCGTAGCTTTATTGTGGTCTTAATAAAGTCTTTGTCCGGATGGTGCATATGAAAACAATGTGCGTATGGGTCTAAAGAAGGCTCGCCTGAACCTGATGCTCGGTCGACCATCTTTGAAGGTAACAAGGCAATTCAGCGCATTCAAAGGCCCATGCAAAGAGGAGACGAAACTACGCAGAAATCGACTGTTCTAGAAAAAAGCTATCACGTTATTCGTTGTGTGTAGTGTCCTGGAAAGCCGCTATCATGTAGGCAAAGGGAGGGCTTCTACTGGCTCTTTTGTGTTAGTGTTTTCCTTTTGGTTTCTTTTTAGATCATTGAAGTGACCATATTGCCCGCACCAACTCCGCTACCCAAGATTGCTTTCTTATTTTAATCTACTCCGCTACCCAGTTGCTTGGGAGGGCTTATGTTGTAAAAACTGGTCATGTGATTCATCAGGCTACTTTCAAGGTGCACGGACTTTTTTTACAGTTGCTGATACTATTTAAGAGCACTCATCTTTTAAACATATATTTTGTTATATTTTCCTTCCATAGGTACACATTCTCTTCAGGAGAGCTTTATGGAAAACAAAGCATGTGACATCTTATTTATTTATTTCAGTGCCCTCAGGGCCACTAGGGCATTACAGAGGGGAGGGGCAAGATGCAGTACAAAATTCAGTAAAAACAAAATCAAATACAAATGATGTAAAACATGAGCAGTCAAGGTTAGTATCAACAAAGGTGATTGGCTATTGCAGTTTTGAACAAATTGGGTGGTGATATGGACACTAAAGATGCAGGAAGGTGGTTCCACTCTGAACACATTCTGGGGATGAAGGAGTCAGTGTAGGCATTGATACAACACTGATGAAAACCTACTTTGCATTGATGGTCAAGGCAAGCAGAGATATGCGGGGGAGGAAGAAGAAACGCTTCTCTTAGAGTAGGGTTAAAGTAATAAATTTTGTGAAAAAGACACAAATGAGAAACTTTGCCATGCAACGACAGAACAGGCAGAGACAAGTTAGTTTTCATAGACGAGACACTTGCAGTATGGTGATAATGACAAAAGATAAATTGTGCGCCGCGATTTTGGACGGCCTCAATGTCAGTTTGAGTATTGAGTGACTGGGATCCCAGATTGCTGCAGCGTATTCTGATCTTGAATGTACCAGTGTTTTAGATAAAAAGAATTTTTATTGTAAAATTTCATTTTAAGTAACCAAGCATAGAGCTGGCGTTAGCAGAGATGTGATTAACGTTCCATGACATGTTATGGGTAATACGAACGCCAAGATATTTGTAGGAAGTTATGAGTTGCAAGGGAGAGGTACTGAGGTAGTATGTCAGTGTTTGAAGTAGTAGAGCATCAGATTCGTTAGTAATTTCGCGCTGGATTACACAGTCATCAGTAAACAAGTTAGTAGAAGATGAAAAATTCTGAGGCAAGTCGTTTATATAAATTAGAAACAAAAGAGGGCCTAAAACAGACCCTTGTGGGACACCCGATGTTACTGCGCTGAGGTGAGAATTGGCTTGATTAGTAGAGACACACTGAGTCCGACTTTTAAAAAAAAAAATTTCAATCCAGGAAAACACATTGGGGTCGAGGTTAAATTTATTAAGTTTGAGAAGTAAAAGCTTGTGAAAAACCTTATTGAATGCTTTGCAGAAATCAAGAAACACTTAATCAACCTGGGATCCTCGACTGAGAATAGAAAAAAGATCACTAGTGAAAGATAGAAGTTGGGTCTCACAGGAAAGAAACTCGCAAAAACCATGCTGAGAGGGTGCAAAACACGAGTTAGCGTCTAGGAAATTAACAAATAAACAATATGCTCCATGATTTTACAGGGTGTACTATCTGGTGAGATTGGCTGGGAGCTAATAGGACTAGGCTTCGAATTGTGACCTGATTCCTTCCCTATTTTCCAATCTTCAGGTAGTGTAGTAAAATTGAGTGACAGTTCAAAAATTTTGGAAAGAAAGATAGGCTATACATTTTGGTATTTTTCAGAAACTTAGATGTTATATTGTAGACACCTGAAGAGGAAGAGGTTTCTTGATTTTCGATTAGCCTGACTATACCATCAAAACTAAACACCAAAGGGTCTATAGGTAGAAAGCTGTGAGAAGGGAGAGACAAATCAAAGTCACAAGAAAAGGTGCTTACAAACAAATCGTTTAAAACATTGGCACACCGACTACTCGGTATAACATCACATCACCATTTAGATCTGCAAGCAATATTAACAATTTTTTAAATCCGTTCACGACATTCCAGAAATGTTTCATGCTTTATAACAACATGGAAGGCAAAGTATGACTGAAGAAAGTTGTTTTGGCTTCCACGATAGCTTACTTATAGGTTTTTGGCTGCACAGCAATAAGACTCCCAATGCTCGTCATGGTTAGAATTTCTTGCCAATCGAAAGAGACATTTCTTTTCATTGGACAATCTTTTAAGGGTGACATTAAACCAGGGATGTTGTGAATTGAGTTCTTTTTTTTTTTACAAGTTATGCAGTTTTTTTTCCGTGTTCAGTTTGTGTATCAAATGGCTCTTTGTGCCGTAGAAATGCAATAGGACGATGATAACGCAGGGTGGTGGAGGTCTAATTTGGTCAACCAATCTCGAGAGAAGTTTGTGAAAGTAGAGGCCCAGGAAGCTTTCACGAATTCAATATCAAATTGAAGGCTACCGGGCACACATCCCCGCTTTTTCTAAAGCTGTACTTGCATAATAATTTGTGGCAAACCAATAAAACGCAGCAGAGGGTACCCCTATCCCAAGGATGGCCCTTCTGCATAGTTATTCGCATAGTCCAAGTTGCTGGGGTGAGGACACTGGGGTGGCAAAACGGCGACCCTGTCTCATGACCCGTCTCATCTCAAAGGAAGCTCTCCTGTCGCCCAAAGCTGGTTCTACTATCCCTTCAAACCACTTCAGCCTTGGGGAACACCAGCCCACATGCTCACATGTCCAGCAGCTGCCAAGCATGGAGGCCAATGTGTGCCCCATTCTTGTCCTCTGACAACCGTTTTGGGGAGTCATGCTAATCCAGCCTGAAGCGTCCCGTCAATAGCACTCCGTTTATTGTCTACGTTAAAAGGAAGTAACAGTCAGTACGTTCCTGCACGTCCTCTGGACACATGGCCCTTTAGGAATCCACCCAAAGAATTGGAAAAATTCAGAAGCCGAACTCGATTTACAAGAGCAAAAGCCTCGGCACCCGACTACTTCCGCTCGCAACAGAGCAAGCGAGAATCAAGAGGGTCCTTTTATGACGCAGTGGTGCATCACGCGGGGCTAGCCAATGGCGTGCCGCTGCGGCCATCGCTTCTGTTTGTTTAGTGATTATTTTGGGTTAAACGGTCGTGACATTTGGAATTATCAGGCACAAATACATCAGAATCAACCATTAACTCATTTTAGAGCGCAGCTCTTAGGCACCCGTTTCCGGCTTGAGCGGCGTCGGCGTAACCGTAAGTCACGTGACACCCCTTTCCCAGGTCACGTGACCCCCAGGATCACGAGGGAGGAGGGGTATACCCTCCCCTCAGTACCCTTCCCTCCTCCTCCTCAAGAGCTGCGCTCCAATTCAGCGTCACAGGCTTTGTCTAAAAGCTCTTCAGCTTCCCTTTAATTGGTGGTACACTTATAGCATGTGGGAAAAGCCCATGCAGCAGAACGCCGTGAACCACCCTCGCTGTGCAGAGCAAGAAAGCGTCTGTGCACCCGCTTGCAAAAAAACTCTTCAGCATGGCTGGAGCACTTAAGGCTTTTCCTCTCCTCCCTTACCAAGCTAGAATAGGGCATTATTTAGCGTACACCCTTTTTACTTTGGAAAAGTACATTCTGCCTGTCAAAGGATGGCACTGTTGAATATTTACTGCCCAAGGGACCGTGTTTTGGGCTCTATGAGAAACCAGAGTGTCTTTAGGTAAACAAACCCAACATGGGCAATACCTGAACACACAAGCCAAAAGGTTTGAAGACACAAGCCCAATAGCTTCCTCTCCTGACACGGGGTGGACGGATTGCACTCCATTCCACAGTGCGCTCGGACTGCCCCCCTTTTATCCCCGACCCCTCTCTGCACGTCCATACTATGAGTGCATGGCCAAAGATCCGGTCCAACGAGCACATGGCTTCCACGTCAGCAGGCGATAGAACAAAATATTTATGTGCATCATTTTTAAGATCTAGGTTCTTGCAGTCTTTTGAAATTCAAAAACCATTTCAGCTTCGCTTTAACTGAGAAGAGAGCTCCATGTACGAGATCACGAGTAAAACTCGGCAAGAATGACAAAAGGAGATAACGGAAGAGGCAGGCACGTCTGAATGTTCAGAGGCAAGACTAAAATTGACATTTGTAACGTGCGGAATACTCTCAAATTACGACTATGGAAACGTCTAAAAAGGCATTATCGAGTCTATAAAAATGGGGAGCTTTAACAATTCTCGTTCAACCCCTTTGGGGTCGGGTCCAAAGAGATAGTGGTTCCAATTAGTGAATGGAAGCACATCCAATGCTTGTAAGCTGTCCAGATTGAGAAGCATGGAATGGGCGGCCTTCTTTCGCTTCCGGGAAGGTCTTAGATCCCAAGCTATTTGACGGAGCATCTCCATCAAATGATTGGCTCTCATCCTCTCAATTCAACTCTTGAATCGGAAGAGCCACCAGAGAAGCGCCAGCACGAGCATATCGCACGCAGCGCAAAATTGTAACCAGCAAGGCGAAAGACGGTGCGAATGCAACATTCCCCAAAGACATAGCAGTAGCTCCCATTTAGGTGAGAACTTTCAAGCGTGTAATGGCCACCATACGGCAGTGACCATGCATTTGCAAGCAACGCACGTTGTGGCAGGTAGACGGCCCCAGACTCACAGCGAATGCCAAAAATGCGCAGGGGATCCAGCTGGTGTTTGCCGTGGCGGCCCGTCCCAGAGATGTTGGATGTGGCCTGCACTTGGCGGTCAAACAGGAAGTCCAGCAGTGTCAGGGCCATCTTCTCGGGAGTAGTGCACGTCCGGTTCACCATGTCCAGGTCCCTGGGTTCGGGCAGACGCATCCACTACGGCTCCCAACCCCAGACAGCCTTCCGACGGGGGGGCACTCACGCGGATGCAATGGGGACGCGGATCCTCGCCTCCGGGTCCATCGGATCTCCGAGCCAGGACCCGTTGGGGTAGTCCTCCACTGCAGGGGCGTGCGCATGAGCCCCTTGTCCGAACAGAGAAAGCCCTCACTCACCTGTCCCTCCTGCTGGCGACGAAACTGTCACACTGCTCCTGCAGGGAACCACACGTCAACTGCGTTTCGCTCCCAATGTGCAACAATTGCCTTCCAGATAGAACACAAAATGGCTTTTGACCAAATTGTCATCAATGACCAATGACTCGCATGCTGGGAGCGTTACGCACCATCATGTATAAAGATATCCGAGCCCTGGCAGGGGTCCAACCCGGGTCGGATACTAAAGCCACCGAGCCACAAGCACAGCTGAATCATTTTTATTTCAATACAGGTTGGATCAAAGTAATAAAATTAATAAAGATATAAAATAAATAATAAAAATAGGTAATAAAAAGAACCCAGTGTGTTTTGTGCAAGATGGGTACCCTCGTCAGCATCATCAACATTTTTTTTTCCCTTGGGCCACTCCCACTGCTAGATGAAAGAGGTGGGAAAACACAAACTTTGTAGGACTGAAAGATGCGGTTGCTACACATACGAGGGGGAACGCAAAAGTAACCGGAATGAATTCCTCGAGTGCCAGCTTCCATCGCTAGCAGCATCTAGCGGCACACCTTCAGAGTCAGTGGGTTAACCGGCATCGTCTGCCGAAGTCTAACTTTTTCCCCCCAAGCGCTTCAAAACCATTCCTCCTTTTTGCCAATGTCTCATTTGAAGGACCCTCAACATCCACAAAACATTTTCCTTTCAGGACTTTTTCATACGAGCCAACAGAAAAAAGTCACATGGGGCGTGGTCCGGTGAATGGGGGAGGTGGAGAAGCGGTGTCGTGCCATTTTTGTTCACAAATTGTTGCACTGACGGGGCAGTGTGTGCTGGGGCATTGTTGTGATGGAACCACCACTCCCCCCTTTGCCACAACATGTTTCTGCCTCACTGAATTGCACAAGCGTCCCAAAACTCCCAGGTAAAGCACCTGATTAACAGTTTCACCAGGAGAAAGAAACTCCGAGTGAACAATGCCCGAATTTTCTCCATGTTTTCATCAGTCGAGGAGGTCAAGGGTCGCCCTGGATATCGCAGCTCTACACTTGTAGAGCTGCAATCATCTTCTTTCTAAGCTGTCCAAAGCATTAAAAAAGTTCCCGCAGCAGTTTTCCCTAAAAAAAAAAAAATTCACAATCGCAAAAGACGTTGCAAAAAAATTACGAATGATTTTGAAGTGCTTGAAAACAAAAATTTCCAACACGCCCCTAGAACTTTAGCAGACGATGGCGGTCGGCAAACGGACTCAGAAGGGGTGCCGCTAAGCGCTGCTAGCGGCAAAAGCTTGTACTATGAACGGCCCGCCCTACAGAAATTCATTCCAGTTCCTCTTGGGTGCCTGCCTGCCTGCCCCCCCCCCCCGTATATAAAGTCATTAAAAAAGCTATCTGCAAAATAACATGAGGCATTCATTGCCATAGTTTTAGCCACATTGAATAAGACGCCACAATGACAAAACCAGATTCTCGTGTGACCGGTCCACTGAAAAACTGTTTGGCATAATGAAATGTGAGCAGGGCGTGAAGTATATTTTAACATTTCCAGCGGTGTCGTCGGAAGGTATACTCCTGATGTATTCCCCTGACATAGTCAAATTACTGCCCGGTCCCAACAGGTTTACTATAAAGGGGTAGTAGCACTGCTCCAAATCACCAGTAGAAAAAAGACAATGGCATTCGCCCATTTAAAGGCGCATATTCCAGAGAAATCACTCCCAGCTGATTTTGGCAGAAATTTGTAAACATCTTTTGTACCCTTTGTTTCCCAATTTGCTTCATCAGCAATCAAAAGGCTCTTTTTGCTCACAGCTCTACAGGAGCTGACCCACTGCCCCAACCATGCAGGGGGCACTGGAAAGCCCATCCTAGAGCTCCCATTGCACGGCAGTGGCGGGGATGTCCACGAAAGAAGGAAAGAGTGCACGGCTACATTTTGGGGGGCCCGGGTATGCTACTGTAGCACTTTTTATGGCTCTTTGGCCGCCCGTGCAGGAAGATTTGGGCTGTCAGTCGACGCAATATCTGCACAATGCCGACACGCCTTCGAGAGCGCAGCTGATGGAGCGTCCTGAAGTGGCAACCTCAAAAAAGCCGTCATGCTGTCGGATGTCGCAGTGGTGGGGAATCGAATTTCAGATAAAAAGCAGGAGCAAACACAAGGCTTGAGTTCCAAGCTGAAGAGGCTCACCGGGGCATCCGGGACGGCCCAGCAGGGGCGGCATGGGTGAGCCGGGCTGTCAGCTGGAGCAGGCGGTCGCCCAGGCCCTGGCAGCGGTCCGCCACCTTGGACAGCTTGCGCGACAGGCGCTCCAGCCGGGCCACCACCTCACCCTGCACCGCCGCCAGCTGCCTCTGCACACAGCCCCAACTCAGGCCTCCTTCCGCCGTCCCTCGAGCGCAACCGTCTCACTTCGCAACACCAGTCTCTTAGAAAGCAGAAACAAAACCCATGGCGGAAGCCCCCTGCCGGTACAAATAGGGCCCCTCCTTGTGGTCCTCCCTTAATCAAAAGCAGACCACCGAAACGTCACAGCAACCATGGATGGATGCGTGTTCCTTTTTATAAAATATAAATAACGACGCAGAAAGAACAGAAACACGCTTCAGCCCATTTCACTATCCACCAGCGAGCAACACTGTCCTTCGTTTATGTTGGTCGTTTCGCCAGTTCTCGGACTGACCGGACGTGTTCTCGGAAGCTCCCCAAATCCCCGAAGCGAAGTTTCGTCATGTATTTTTGTTTCTCGCACGATTATATGCGAATGGGATAGTAAATACAGATATAATTAACGTTAATTTATAGTTCTTACCTTACTGTTTTGTTTTTTTTTCCCCGATACCACGTGGCACGGCTTTGTTTAATATTTGGCGGGATAGTTGGCCGCGCCAGTAGTTGTGTTAACCGCCTCCTCGGACAGTCTTGTGTGCCCTATAAAGCAAGAGGGCGATAGGCCGGCCACTCGATGGACCATCTACCAGCTTTGTTTGGGTTAGCATAGGGTTGCAAAGAACGAAAGGGAGAAGCGGAGTTGGTACAGCGTGGGAAGAGTGCAAGCGATGATGCTATTTAGAGACCAACCAACTTCGAGGCTTAGCTGATGCAGTAGAGGGTAGCTTCACTTGCAGTTTCTGTGAGAATCTTGAGGTTGATTTTACGAGGGTAGAAGATTTGGCACAGCAGAACCAGAGACACAAATTCTTGAATGAAAAAGTTTATTGGCCCTAAATGATGCCCAACCACAAGTAATATTGGAATGAATTGAGACTCTAGTATCCAGACAACTGGAGAGAGAATGGACATATAACGATTTAGTAAACACTTTTAAAAGAAAGTTAGAGAAGTTTGAAATTAAACAAAGAGGATGAAAGAAACACGCACCAAAAAGCTGACGGGACAGTGAAGTTAAGGTAACCATAGCAGGGCGACAAGGGGCCTCAAGGGAAACACAGGTGGGCGAAGGGGGGACACACCCACTGAGGTAGCATCGAAATGAAATACATTCCAGAAAAGAGAGGCATCTGATCTAATCCAGGCCAAGATTGGTAGAGATGGAGTGCAGTGGATGATGGAGCTAAATCAGAATGTAGGAATGCAGCAAAAATGGGAGCACTTCAATGCACAAGGGAGATAAACAGAAGGGTTCCAGTGTTTATTGACCACACACGAGTGTATAAGGGTAGAGGGCAAGGAGGCAAGGGTCGTCTCAACCTATCAAGGAAGGCACCAAGTAAAACGCCCAAAAGCTGGAACCACACAGATACCGTATTTTCCGGTGTATAAGTCGCGGTTTCTTTTCAAATATTTTTCTTGGTGCGTCTTATATGCATTTTTTTCAAATTGATGATGCGACGCAATTTTTCTTATGCGCCACGCACCATCTTTCGTAGAGCACCGTAACTATGTAGCCACAGGTGGTGTTGACCCTTCCAGGAGGCACTGCTGCCGCCGTACTCTTCTAAACTTTTCATAACTGAAAGTACCGAGAGCGAGAAATTTTAGTTTCCCCGAAGCGGATCAATGTGGATAGGCAAGACAGTGAGAATAAAACTTGTACAGCATGTGATCGATGTGGCCTAATTCAGCCATGGTTCTGTATTCTTTTGCCTCAGTCCAGTCACACTGAAAGGTAAGGGGGCTGGTATACACGCATTGCAAAAAAATTTCTCGCATCTTCCTTAGTTTACGTTTGATGAGCAGTTTTCATCTGCCATGCTCCAGCCGTGCTGCTACATGTAAAAGGAAGCATTGTGGCTAGCCGGTCTTCTAGCGGTGCCCAAAAAGTGTGTTAAGATTTATCTATAAAAGCCCGTTCACACACATGCGTCCGTAGCAACCGGAACGACCGGAACAACCGAAACGACCGTTGCAAGGGTCTGCTACCTTCAGTTGCCATAGCGACGAAGGAACGCACGCGCGTGTCGTTCACAACGCACGGAGTTGGAGTGAGCCCAACTTTCCCCGCTGCGTTGGAAATAACCGAATCAACCGCAACGACAGACCAATCACAAATTGAGGAGAATGGGTCGCGCGCGTTGCGTGCCGGTCGCAGGCTGGCTCCTTCTGTCTGCAAACATGGCGTCGGTGGTAATCGTCGATGTGGACGGCGTGGTGAAAGCTCATCATTCCGCGTAAAAGCGCTATCCTTGTCTGGTGAACTTTCGTGTGTGACGCTATGATAACCCAACATGTATTAGAAGGAAAGATCCACCTACTCGTGCGGCGATGTCGTGGCGGCACTCTCAAGACAGCAGAAACGCCCGTGCCGTTGTGTTTGTTTACTTCGACTATAGTGGTGCTTTCTAAGCATTTGTGTCCTCGAACATCACCCGGATTTCTTATTTGGCGCATTTCATGCGTGTGCTCTAGTTCAAGGTATTACTGGCGCGTACCGTATAAAGGATGTGAATTTTCACGCGTTTTCATCACCGGAGAAAAGTGATTAGTGTTAGCTATCCAGAACGCTCGCAACGTCTATCTGATCACGAAATCATATTTCTATGTTGCTATATCGCTGATAAGATTATATCATCTATCATACAAAAGGCGTGTGGTGAGGTTTGTACTATTGGCAAAGTCGTGTATTAGAGTCGTGATCGTCCAAGACGGCGTACTGCATCTTTTTCTTTTCTTTTTTTCATCCACTGTACCCTGCAAGCCTATTATGAAAAAAAAAGATATCAATAAAGCTTTAGGATATATCTGTCTGTCTATATTCTGTTGCGGTATTCAGTGGCAGTGCGTCCCCTTTCTAGGGGCACCGCTGAAACAGCTGACGGCGGCGTAGAAGCGGTCGCCGTGCTGCCGACCCGCAGCACTTGTTGCAGGTGTGTGTACGCACGGCGCAGAGCGGTCGTTCCGGTCGCTACGGTTGCAACGGACGCATCGCGCTCGTTGTACATGTCTGAACCAGCCTTAAGCCTGCGCATCCATGCTCGTGTGGTCTTCGTGACTAGGCCTCGGCTAAGCCTAGTGGCCCAAAGCTCGGTTCATGAGTGTCTGGCACGTTAAACTTTCGTTTGCTCAGCATGTGTATGCTCGAATAAAGCAGACAACCTTCTAATTTCGCTAGTTTTACGTCGTCGTGGTGCGAATCACTCGATTTCCCCCGACAGACAGCGCCGTAATATGGGCATTTCCTGCGAGTCAAAACGTCAAAATTGCGTGTCAAACGGTATGTGCGATCTAGCCAATGGTGTACAACTCCGACTTCGCAATACTAATGCGCGTAAAATGAAAAACACTCATTGCGTGCACAGTGCAGAGGTGCGACTTATACGAAGGTGAGACTTATATACCAACTTTTCCGTGAAAACGGCTCGATATACGGAAGTGCGACCTATAGACCAATGTCTGCGCGGATTCCAGGGCGCCGCCATGTTTCTCTACGCTCGCGCCACCATGCGGAAAGAACCAGCAGGCAAGAGGGGGGGGGGGGGGGGGCTGCGTTGGCGGCATTGCTTTGGGGAGCTGGATGCGGCAGGCTGTCCAAATGCACCGACACATCGTGAAAGATGTCTTCTGCCTCTGCGGCCCGTTCTTCAACAGATAAGATGTCGTGAACATTCGAGAACCCATCTCGATCAAGAAAACAAAGGAAAACCTTTCTTGTCTTAGATGTTCTCGGTGTCTGCTCACCCTTGACATCCGCGTTTCAGTCCGGGTTCATTGTGTGAATAATTGCGAAGCTGAGAAAAAGATGTGGGAGGAAAGAATGCAGGGAAAATCAACTTTTAACTGTGTACAGGAGACGAAAACGGGAAACAAGGAAGGCACATTTGATACAATAATTCACGGGGGAGCTCGTTGCTATTAGAGTCTAGAATGGGAGTATTGAGAACTAGGATATGTAGGACGAAGTATGAGGAAATAGGCACGCCTGCGCCATATGCCAAGGGAAGAGGAGACAATGGAACATGTGGTGTTGAGGTGCACAGGGCTTGCTCCCGCCCTCCCGGAGGGGGCGACGGATTTAGCCAGAGTGCTGGGGTTTGCAGACGAGAATGAAAAATGAATGACAAGTGCATTTTAATAACAAAGAGAGACTGGTGGAAATTTTCTAGGGAGAATTTAATGACATACAACTAACTGACACAGTTGGGGACAGGCAGGACAGAGAAAAATAGGGACTCTTCCCACGTGGCTACGGCCCAAAGTTTCTACCCTGTCTCCCAATGGGCACGGTGCCGGGGTAACGCAGACTAGGTTTAACCAGAGGAAAGTTGGCGACTCCCTCACCGGAAGAGAAAAGGCGGGCGGGCGGGGGGGCATGTTTTTAGTTGTTTTTTTTCGCAAGATGCCCCAAAGGTCATTTTGGTGATATCCTCCACATTTTAAGAGTTTTTTTTTCACTTTATGTGAACCTGTGTCTGTGTGAATCAACTTGGCGGGCAAAAGTATTTTACTCCCTGCTGCAAGACCCAAAAGGTTTCACCATTCTCTGAAAGGAGAAAAGTATGCTCGGTCGTGAAGGAATGTCGTGCAGGCTTCCACAAGCAGCACTGGAGCCGTTGGCTAAACGTGGACAGGGGCATTGGCAAGGCCTTTGCCCAAGATACAAGTTTTCAGAAGGAAACAAGAGGTCAGCCGAGACGGTGCGCCTATCAAGAACCAGAGTACCAAGTTCAGAACACACGACGGGGACATGGCACAATACTAGCCCCACTTGAAACGAAATAGTGTTCACTTGTTTCGTTTCAAGTGGTCGGGTCAGTCCTCTGGAGCGAGAGAATGGATCACGTGAGGGCTAAAGCTTTCAGCAAGCGCCCAAAAAGGCCCATGGATCGCTCAACGAAGAGAGAAAAGGGGATGAAGCAAGCACTGAAACAACCTAGGGCACATTCTTTGCAAGGGAGGCTGAGCCAACTGAATATTTCAGTTGCACGGCTGACCAGAGTTCAAGTGTCTCAGCAGCAGAGGCCTCGAGCAGGAAAACCGAGGGCCACAACAAGCGGCTTCCCACCTTAAGCTCCTCGTCGCCAGGCGAGGCATCCCCGACGAGCCCGACCGCGTCCGGCGGGTCCTCGGTCAGCTTGGCGAGCAGGAACTGTCCCCCCCCGACGGGCACCAGGCGCAGCGGCACCGAAGCACCCGTGTCGGTGGTCGACACCAGCAGTTCGCCCAGCTGGTCCATTGCCCCTGCGTGTCGCACGGCCTCTGTGAGGGCAAGCGCTGGACGTTTATGTACCGCTGCAATTGGCCGCCCTAGCAAAGACTCGTCATTGTGGCTTGTGCGTGTTCACACGTGCATAGCTCTCAGAACTGTCTCAAATGCTCGAATGAGCGTCGTCGCGTCTTGGCAGTCACGAAATCGCGTCAGATGTGGCGGCAACGCCAGCAACCTTCCGAGATGGGAGAAAAACATGCAAATTACCATCGACAGCAAGTTGGACAGAGCCTGGGATCTCATCCCCCATCCTGGAACACAAAGACACGCCGAAATTACTCCAGGGCTCATTTCGGACAGTGTCGCAGCACCGACGCGAGCAACACTCGACGACGGACATGCAGCACTTGGAAAGCATGCCAGGCGCTTCGGCACCGCTCCAAAGGCCCGAAAGAAGCAGGCTCGTGTCCTCTCCCACCTGGGGGATACCCTGCTGCACATCTAGCATCGGTGATGACCCTCCAAACGGTACGAACGACAATGTCACTCTTGAGTTACCTCTTGGATGTTGCGTTGGTTTCGGCTGCAACGGATCAAGCGTCCGAGGTTCGAATCGAAAGGTGGCTTGCATATCTGCCACGACAAAGCGGCTCCCAGGCCTAAAACGGACCAGCAGCGCCTCAGTAACGTTACGTCCTGACTTTTTTCGACCGAGTGATTACACGCGTAAATACGGATCATTTTGGGGCGCCAACCGCAAGCAAATGTGAGCAAACGACCCCCTTTCCGAAATCTCCAACGAGATCACGTACCTTCACGATATCGCGATAATGGCGTTTCTTCTCGACAAGTTCGAGACGAAATATGACGTCACGTTTGGCGCTTGTCCGTGGATGATTTTTTGAACGTTTTATTCTTGTTGATACAATAAAAAAAAAACACTAAAATGTCAGTAGGGATAGTTTTAAATTAACACTAAGCGTCTGAATTTTCTCATAACCTACCAAATTTGAAAGAGCACAGAGCCACAGAGCCCTCAACTAGGAAGGCTCACTAGGCTCACTAGCCCTCACCATCTCGTGGCGTCGGCGGGTGTTGTTCTCGCGTCCTGCATAAAGTTGCTCCCAAAGCCGGGTGCTCCATGTTACGTTAGCAACTCATCAAGCTAGAATTGTGTAAAGCCTATTTGTAAACGAAGGGGCAGAGAACCTGTTCTCGCTCCTGTTATTTTCGATCCACAAGTATGGTACCTGAACGCAAGTACGGTGTCTCCAACTGGTGTGTTTACCGCTTTACTGCTTCCAAAAAGTGGTCCCTCGATTTCCGCCTGATGACGTCATTAAAAAGTCAAGCTGATGCTGGCGCCAGTCGCGATCCTGGCGGCGTCCCACAAGCTGTGCTTAAATGGCAGACGCCTGTTCTGGTGCAGGTCGCTCGTTGAGGTTGCCGGAGGTCTGCAGGTCTCTCCTTTAGTCTCTCTCCAGTGTGACAGCCCACGGAAGCTTCCGCGGTCAGAAGTTGGGACGCCTAAAGCGGGAAACACACGTACGACGAAACCGTCCGATCCGACGTCCGACCGCGCAATACGACGGTCGGAGGCGAGGGTTTTCAACGCTCTCCGATGCTACGAAAACCCTCTCCCCCCAAGGTCATTCCGGCAGTCTGCACGTCAGATCGGACGGTTTTCGTCGTACATGTGTTTCGCGCTTAAGGCCCGGGACGTCGTGACGACAGTAATGCGGTTTTGCAGGTGGGTTATACGGCCAGGCGGACATTATGTGGGTGGCTAATATTTGCGATAAGCCGGCTAATTAATAAAGAAATTGTTAATTAACTTTTTAATTAGTGAAAATAGACATACAGTTCCATTTAGAAACTATTTTTAGAAGGATATAACGTCGGGGCAGTATCTTGCGGCGTTCTGTTAAAACGCTCGTAGTTCTCACGTTGTAGTTCTCAAGTTGTAGTAGTAGTAGTTGTCCATTTGGACAAGTTTCTAGGTTTTGGTTTCTTATCGGAGCGCATCACCACGCTCACGGTCCTGCTCCCCAATGTCTGAGACGCGCAACACACGTGCGCCCTGCTTCCCTCCATTCTACGGGGGAGGCGAAGGGGTGGCTTCGCGCCGCGACCAGCGGGGAGCAGGACCGCGGGCGCAAAGATGCGCTCCGATAAGAAACCGAAACCTAGAAACGTGTCCAAATGGAGCGTTTTTACAGAACGCCGTAAGATGCTGCCCCGACGTTATATCCTTCTAAAAATAGTTGATACAGAGATTTTCGATGGTGCTCAGCAAGTTTCTAATGGGAGCTGTATGTCTGTTTTCACTAATTAAACAGTTAATTAACATTTTTTTTTACTAATTAGCCGACTTATCGCAAAGATTACCTACCCACATAATGTCCGCCTGGCCGTATAACCCACCTGCACAAACCGCATTACTGTAGCTTTCACGGTATGTTTTAAAAAAGTCTGCAAAAATATTCAATATAAAAAAAAACCTGTGTGTCTCTCTCTCTCTATATATATATATATATCCTTGCGCAAGATATCAGAAAAATTAGCAAGGAGCTGATCGAATGCATCAAACAAGGGCTTTCAGCATTTCAACTTGCTTATCTTGATGATTGAAATAAACCGAAACCTGGTGCCTAGAATTCACAATGTTGGGGCGGCAGAATCTTCTTCAGAAACTCTCAGTCAACTGGACAACTGCTCAAATGGTTTGATGAAAAGGGTCTCGAAATTGTTGCGGCTTTAGGCAGCTTTGCGACACTGATGAGGAATTTTTTGTAAAAAAATTAATCGCGCAAATATGTTACCCCGTAGTAGCTAATACACAACATATCACTCTAAATCAGGGGTGGCCAAGCTGTGGCTCTTTTAAAATGCGGCCTGCGGCTCCCTCCCCTGCTACCCTCCCCCCTCCCTCGCCTCCCTTCCGGTCACGCAAGCACTTCCCCAAAAAAAGAAATGGAATGCCTTTTAAATCGACAGACAGGTTGCGGTTTGGTAGTCTTGTGCTACTGCCACCATACATACAGTTGGACCGCTTTTGACTCGGATAGATCGAAAGTAGTTCAAGTTTCGTATATTGCTCTGGACAAAAATTCCCCCCACGGCTCTTGGAGGTTTCGTGGTTTTGTTTGCGGCTCTTTAACCCGGTCAGCCTGACCACTTCTGCTCTAAATCATTAAGTTTTGCACCTGTGAAATCTTCTATAAACCCACGTTTCGTAAAATTCTAGAAATATTAAGCCCACGAAAATAAAGTTGTTTACCACATTATCAGTGACTCCAGCAAAATACTTTTAAAAGAATACTAAAACAAAATTATAGCCCCTATTTTATTGTCTAAATGTCAGCCACGTTCTGCCACACCAGACACCAATTTTTTGCTCAAAAAGGCATCAAAACATTACTTAAAAGGAATAAACCGTGTCGTTACATCACTATGAATTTAAAAATCAGCATCGTTCTACTGAAGTATGGCAGCAAGCCGAGTCCGCGCGAGCCCCGTTGAACCGAATTTCCCTACTCGCCCGGCCTATTCAACTCTTGTGGCAGCGGGGAGGGGCAACCAAAAATGGCCAAGTTGTAACGAAGCCAAGTGGCGGAGCTCATAACCACACCAGCCCCCGAGCAGCTTTGCCTGTGCTGAACTAATTGACGTCACGTCTAACGTCAATTGGTTTAGTTCTCAGGATGCATCGCGCTCTCCAATGGCTATCTTCTCGCTGGAATCGGTCCGTTGGAATGAAAAATGCAGCCATCCGTTCAAAACACAAGCGTGCGATTGTCATCAGCAGATTGAGTTGATCATGTTTAACATAATTCTGAATGCGAGAGGTATATTTTAAGTATCTCTTTAAAACCTCCCTTCATACCTATATAGCGTCACTTCTCAGCATCTAAATGCTGAAACATTTTTATGTGGTTGCAAAATAAAAATCTCCATCTACTACCACATCTCTGTGCTTTGGCATAGACTCTATAGAGCTACTATAGCACCAAGTGATTGAAAGGGCAAGCTGGCGATATAGATAGACTGTTTGTGACTGCATGAAAAAAAAGTAAACTCCTAGCAGCCGAAACACAGATGGGTGAAAGGTGAGAAAAAGTTACAAAGATCATTTTGTGAATTCTTAGGGAAACAATTCAGGTGTCTTGCAGCGGCTGTTTTCAAGTTTCAGGCATGAACAACCATGATCAGAGCGTTCGTTTTCATGATTTGATTTTTTAATCGCTCGCTTTCGTGGATGATTTTTTATTAAATATTATAAATGGGCAAGTATGCCATTTTATTTCACTAGCAGTAATGTCACCTGGTCTACCGGCAGTTCTAATTTAAACCATCTGAATTAACCTTCACGACCATAGCCGTGACCATTTCAACAATCGCTTTCTGTAATTACGCAGCAACAGCATTGATTAAAAGGGTCATTCGATAATTTTTGAACTGGTTTGAAATTTGAGAGAAAACAGACCTCCTCTAACGTAGGAACATAGAAGAAAAATGTTTTTCTTCAAATTTGAATTACAGAAATAACAAAAAAAAGCAACACATTTTTACTCCATGACAGTCAGAAAATTTCTATTTTTCTTCTATTGTAAAACATTGAAGTTACGCAATTGCCACATTGTTTCCTGGCTGGTGGAGCATTTTGGGGTCAACGACAGTAAGTGGTTCCAAAATATTCTACTGGACCACATATATACATGATTTACTTCAGCTCTGTGTCTTATAAGAAACAGATACCCTTGGAAACGCTACACAGGTCCCCCTTTGGGAAATGCTAACGCTGGCCCGTTCACTTTTCTCTTTTGTCTCCTCTATTATTTGCTTCTTCTTTTTGGCCTCGTCACAAAGGAGACATGTGCGACGCTTCCAAGGGTCATGCTAATGGATTCCTTAAGAATCAAATCCACCAACGGATCTTCCTATAATTTTCTGCACTCTACCTGTCAGAGTGCGTCGAAAGGAATTTGCAGACTTGAACGCCTCATGGCCCATGATACACTGGACATCATCGCCCCACTACCCTTGGCCTCATGGGCAAGCAGAGCGAGCAATCAAGACGATCAAGGACACCCTCTGCAAGGCAGTTGGGCGAGGATGTGGATGTGGCCCTCCTCACCTACAGCTCAACGCCCACGTCCAACACATTTCCCAGTTTGCTGAGGGTGCCAAACATTGGCGTCGAAGGTCCACTGCCCTCGAAGGGTATTTTTGAGAAATTTTTAAATCAAGACCAAGCATCTCAGTGAGAGCCAAGAAAGAAATTTGAGCATCATTAGGAGACAATGGCCAGAACAAGGGTTTGATCTGAGGATGCTTCTGTAGAATGGCACAACCTATATCCTGCCTTTTGGTTATCAAAAAAAGCCATTAGCCAAAAGAGTCAACACCCATACCTACTTTGTAAGGACAGCTCCAGTGTCTTTATTATTTCTAACTTTGGTCTCAGATAGATGACACCTGTTTGGTACAAAACAGATCAATTTAATGTTGCATCGGCAAAAGGGAACAGACGACGAGTGCGATTCTCCCATGCTGTCAGCTACTAGGACCGATCATTTGGTCGACTGAACTATGGAAGAAATTATAACTTTCTCTTACACTTTTGGACATTAGACTCGTTCCAACCGAGGGAGATTACAACTGGTCATCTGTACCTCTTGAATCCCACATGTTTCAAGCAGCCGTCTTCAGGTTCCTTCCAGATGTTTCACTTAGTAGTAGCAGGAGCGCACGCGGTGGAAAGGCACATGGTCCAAGTCTGCTGCCCGTTTGCGCCGGTAGTCCCAAAGGCAGAAGTCCACCAGAATTGAGTTGATCTCGCCAAGTGCTGCATCGCCCTGCAACCGCCGCTTCAGTTCCTCGCAGACAAGCTGAAAGTACAGCTGCAGGTCTTGTTCCAGCCTTTGCCAAAATCACCATCAAAGAGCCTCTCAGAAAGAACATCTCTGGTAAAAGAGACAGCTAGGCAGAGTGAGCCCCAACATTTGCTATGGTCTAGCTGCCATTGTTTATGAAGCTGTAGTTGCAGCAAAGCACCTCGTCAGTACAGTTCTTCCACTCTGCTCTGCAGGTGCTAGTTTAATGCTTTTATCTTCTGCTGCCAATTCACAACCTACTCGCTCAGAAACACTCGGAGAACATACATTATTGAGCTGGCGCTTTTATCTGCTGAACAATTAGAATAACACTTACCTCACAAGCATGAATGGTCGCACCTCGTATTTCCATTTCCTCCTTATCCCCATTTTGCAATAGGACACCTGGGGGGGGTTACAAAAAGGGAAAACAAATATGTATTCAATGGGGAAAATCTCTCGGGGTGCTTCATTGGTCCACAAACACCAAGCTTCCCACGCGTTCTTCAACAAATCCTAAAGAGCGGAAGAGAGGCACAACACAGCCCGTTTCTATGTGACCCGTTTCCTAGTGGCTACAGGCTCTGGGCCAACGAGACTTCTCCCAGTGTCTGGAGTGGTGGAGGACGACTTACCGCTTTGGAGCAGGCTCGAGAGCCGTTCCGAGTAGCGCAGTGCCCCAAAATGGGCTAGGACTTGCGGCACCCGGTAATCCGCAAACGCAGTCAGCGTTCCAATGTCTTCAAACTCCCCGAGCCCCTGTCCGCCAAAGCAAGCCCAGATGTCCGCCACAAGGATCTGGGCCCGCTTGTAGAAGGAAACTGCAATCAACCATACAACTTGTTTCCCTCATCCTTGCCAATGGTTCGTCCTAAATGGACAATTCAGACTAAAGTGCGGCATAAGCATAATTTAGAGTGCCTAAAAGAGAATGCCCTAGAGCAAATATGCAGGGGTCTCCTCTCGTCAGCTCTGGGTGCCCGCTGCTCTTGGTAGTGTGCGGATGAAATGTCAACTGTGCAACCAACATTTTATGCAAGGGGGGGGGGGGGGGGGGGCAAAGAGCCCCCACCCAACAAAATTCCAAATGTAGCCACTCATCTTTTATTTATTTAGAATACTACTGGCTCAAATCAAGGAGCCATAGTAGGAGTGGTTGCAACATAAATATAACAAAACGCTAGTCAAACCAAACAACAATCTAAAAAAATGCAAGTCAACTGCCGTAACAAACTGATCAAAAGTAGGTAAAATCACAATATCGTTAGAGAGTTCATTCCAATCGTGAATTGTCCGAGGAAAGAAAGAATATCAAAAACAGTTCCTTTTTTTCACCTGTACTGTGTCCTTGCCCTGGAATAGTTAAGTTAAGCTGTTGATGAGAATTTTAAATACAGTCTAAATTGCTTATAACAGACCTTGATAGCGACCAAGATTTCAGTCTGTTGTCAAAGGAGTATGCTGTATGCAGATACAAAGTGGAACCAATGGCACAGAACTAAAACTGCACAAAAAGCAGTATATGTTCTATCCAAATGTCTTTCTTGTAAACAGGTATGTTGCAACGAGTTCATACTGTAGTTGGAACTTTCTCCTTAAAGAGGGCCATTTAGAATATCATAGCCAATTTGTAATATATTAAATCTTTTCTCTCATTCCTAATGCAGTATGCAGCCCCGCTATTTCCATTACCGTAAAATACCGGGCAAATGCTTACTCAAAATTTGGAGATAATAGCAAAAAAAACTGGAAACGGGCACCTTATCCAGTTATCAATTTACATATAAATGTACTCTGCGCATTTTCTCAGATCTCACAAATTTCTGAATAGGCAGATGATTGGTATTCTACGGTAGCTCCGTGGCTGATGACTCGGTGCTGTAGTTATTAAAAATAAACAGAGCAGCAAGCTTTTGGAGCCTTTCTAGTTTATTAATGCCATCTTTCGTGACAAGGCACCACACCGAGTTTGCATATTCCAATATAGGTTTCAGCAAACTCTTATATGCAATAAGTTTAGTGTTCGAACCCACAAATTTTAATCTTCTTCTTAATGCAAACAATGTGCCTCTTGCTTTGGTTACTGTAGTTTCTAGATGTTGATTCCAGTTTAGTTTATTATTGAACAGAAGGCCTAAATACTTGTATTGTTCCACATGCTTGACATGTTACCGGTCTAGTGTATAATTAAAATGAATCGGGTTCTTTTTACATAAAATTGACATGGCAGCTGTTTTATCATAATTAAATTTCATCCAGGCCTTTCTTAAAAGGCAATGGAACTTCCGTAATGCCCACGCAAAGTGCTTATTGCAAAATCCCTATATCCAAGGGCCAGTGGTAGGCTGGAAAAAGGAAACTTCCTAATTATTAAATGAATGAGACCGTCTTGCTTGCACTAAATGCTTTTTTTTACTTACCCCTCAAGAAATGTTTTCATTTTTTGCCAGGCGATCCATTATGGTGCCAGAAGACTACCCAATCAATATTTTACTAAGGTGTCACAAATATTTTTAAAAAATTGAAAAAAAAAAATGCAATTGCTCGAAATTGAAACTGGATTGGGGAAGAAGGGGAAATAGGAGGGGGAGAAAGTTACTAAAATCACGTGGCTATGCAACTTTTTTCTTTTTTTTTCAATCAACATATTTGCAGTCTTTTAGAACCAGGAAAAAGTGAATATCATATTTTTCGCCTATTTTTAGCATTGACTGTGTGCCTTCGATGACCCGCAACTTTGATTATTCTTGGTGGTTGTGTCTAGACCATAGAAAACGGCATGTGACCACAAAGAAGAGAGTAAGCGCGATTCAAATCAGTCAGTTCTCGATTGGCGGTTTTCAGGCGGAAAGAAAACAAATTTTGAGCCGCAAATTGTCTTCTGCGTAGTTGGGCTCTCGTATGTCACGAACAAATAAAAACCTTGGCAAGCATAAATACCCTGTCAGTGTCCCTTTAAAGGGATACAGAAATTAAAATTTGAATCTACCTATCAAGTTCAGAAGTAAGTTAAACACAATTAGCAATATCTCCAAATAACAATTACACATTCATATTTTGAACAGATAACTAATTTTTATTTCTAGACGGCCCACTCTGGGGCAAGCACTCGGAGAGCAGCCATCGGAGAGCGTGATACATCACGGGATTTTCAACACGGCCAAGGCTACAGCAAGGCTGGCATGGCTACGAGCTTTGCAACTAGGTGGTGGCAACGCATTCTGGCCGTTTGAGATACACGAGGCCCAGGCTGGGTGACGCGAGGTGAAGAAGTGATTCCCCGGCATCTGAAAACTTCCTTGAGCTCCCCCCCTTGGCCTCTCCCCGTCCTCCTTTCTCCCAGCCGCAGGAGTTCTCAGGAGCGGGAGAGGAGGTCCCGCTCCAAGAAGCTTGGAGAACATCCACCAGGTGCAATTCGCTAATCCTTTGATTCATCTTAAATACAGCTTTCCTGTCTTTAGGAAAAAAACAATTGGTGTCTCTCTTGTGCTCCCTAGTCGCCATTCAAACATTTCCATAGACTGATGTCACTAAGCATTCAGCTTATGCATGACACTGCCATAACTCCCAGGAGGAAAAGGGCAGTGCACGAGAGAGCTCGTGCCATCTCGTGCATGCGCAGAGCTCCAGCGAGGTTGCCGCACATACACTTCCCTCAATGCATTGCGGCAACGTAGTTAAACTGGTTGCTCAGATTGGTCTATTGGTGCTAAGATTTTGTTGCCATACACCTTTAAACCCAGCAGTTGATAATAGTTTACGACATACACTTTAGTTTTTGCTCCAGGAGCTCACTGCTACGAAACACACGGAAGAAAATTGAGTAGCACTTTCCTCTGGCTTGTGGACAGAACAAGCAGCCGTGTGTTTTATTGCCCATTGGTGCCATCAATGCACTCGGGTTGGCAATGGTCGCAACGCATACTGCACCATGCACGTCTCAAAGTACAGCAATTTGTGTCACAGAACTGACTGACCACAAAGGTCAATCCCAATATCTGTCGACACATTGACCATGCCCAAGTGCGACCTGAATTGTGAGGCTCAGGTTTAATGCATCACCCAGACTCGGCTATCTATGTTGTCTCCTCGTTGGCTTCTACCCTTGTCTAGTTTTGTCATCCCATGCTGCTGAGAAAGCTTACTTTTGCTTCTTTCAACATTTCTTCTTTTTTTTTTTTTGGGGGGGGGGGGGGGGGGGGGGTTTGGGTAGTCATGAGGACACATTTAGATTTAATTGCTTTCGTGTAGAGCTCCAAAACTAGCGCTGGTTCTGGAGGCTGCCTGCAGGAGCTAGCTGGCAGAATACAAATGATCTGAAGCCTCAGGATGTTTTAGCATTTGAAAAGAGTCAAGTAATCCGGCTCACAAAATGCCACTACTCCAGTGACCATCTGTGACATCTACAGATCCTGAAATCCTTGAAACTAAAACAAGAGTACAGGTGAGCTAGTTCGAGAGACATATTATCTCAGGAGCAGGGGGAAAAAAAGGGCGACGGACAAAACTCCTTGGAATTGGATGTCATCCATCCCACTTTTTTTCCCTTACTCCTCGGATAAGATGTGCACATCCTTTACTAATTTTACATACATTTTCTTTGCAAAAGAGCGCTTTGTCCTGCTGTGTTCAAGCAGACTCCTCGACTAACTTCCGCAAAACAATTGAATGTAATTGCAGAGACAAGCTGGTGTACATTGAACATGACAAAATCCCCAAGACTGGAAAAAAAGCCCAGGCACTTTTGCTACCTTTTCAAATGCGGAAATAATCGAAGGAACCAAGCTGAAATTGAAACTCCCAGAAGCATGCCGTCAACAAAAGAGACGGTGTTTACTTCTCGCACTAGACCCGAGATTGAAGAACGCTGATTCCCATATGTTTCTGAAGACCAGTGGAGAAAAAAGAATGGTGCTAGCAGCACTAGGAGGCTTTCCCCACTTTGAAGGAGTCTCCAGGTGGGTCTGTCGGAATCCTGGTACCAAGGATTATCACCACACCAGACAACCAAAGTCCCGCTTGGGTCCACTAATTCCTGGGAGTTGTTCCCTTGTGAGGAGGAATGGCAGCAAGTGGAGAAGGTACCCACCTGGTACACCATTAAAAATTCCCTCGTCACGGAAGGATGGTACGTTGGTGACAAGCTCGTCCAAGAGCCTCTGGCAGCTCCGGTTGCTCCTCAAGATGCAGTTAGCAAATTCTCCGCCATAACTCTGGGCAAGGAGAAGCACAGAGTCTCAAGCACTGTGGCTGGCCCTAGACCTCCTTGCACCCTGTCCTAAGAACCGGTTACCAAGACACAAAACGGTTAAGACAAAGTAATCGATAGACTTGGAATAAGTGTCCAAGAGGTCAACTCACAGTGCACAGGACCTGACCACACTCCCTCAGTATCCGGTGGCGTTCTTCAAGGAGGGGAAACGGAACTGGCGTGCAAGACCGGAATATGTGCTCCACTTGCTCGTGCGAAATGTCCCGGCAAAACTGTGCATCAAGAAGCGGGATGCCTTCCTGCCACGTCAACCCGTGGTGCAATCAAAATGCGGAAATCTCCCATATCTGACAAACACTGGCGCCATCTATCGGGTAGCAGTGCAATCAATCCTTTCTTTATACATTGTAAGAGATCACAACTCACTGGTACACAAGTGTGTGAACCAGTCGTAACTGGGACTGCAGCTGGCCATGTGGGTGGCTTCATTTAGAGGAGGTTGTGAAAAGATTACAAAGAATACAACAGGTACTTGTGTGCACAAGGTACTATCAGCTGATTTGCAGTTTCAAGTCCGAGCCAGTGTCCAAGTCATCTGTTCTAAAGTGGAATGGGCTCAACTTGCCTGGATCGCTCGATTGACGGCAGCGCAGAGTGACCAGTAGCCGGTATGTCGCCTGCCATCAAACTCAATCTCACATTTTTCTTCACTATTCTGCGACCAGAAGCAGAAATTGAGTGCATCCACGAAAAATATCCATTGGACGGTTGAGTTGTCTAGTGCCTTGGGGTGCAGTGGGTGCTTCCGCCAGGAGTCCTTGCTAACTGTGCCCTGGCTGAAGCAATCCTGAACCTGGGAACACAAGTTGGCCCGCCAGGGTTTTTTGTTCCTTCAGTTGACTGCAATCTGGAAGACTTTTATGGCAGAGATCCTTCTACAAGCCAGGGCAAAGCAGAAAACACTGATTTGGTTTCAGGTAATGAAGCCAGCTTGGACGATTTCGACAAATACACCAAGTTAAGGTCTAGACGAAAACACTGTCACAACGCTTAGCTTTGTGTATTCATCTAAACTGTTCAAACTGTCCACATTAACGACGAAAGCAATAAAGCAACTAGCCCAACTAAAACCCATTGCATAAATCTTTTCTTGCTTCGAGAATGAGGGAAAGCACAGACCATGTACACGCTCTAAATAGGTGTTGCAGTTCAGGTATTCCGCAAGAAAACACTAATAAATGCATTCCAAATATTCGACTTGCAGACTGGTGAAGCAGATGGCCACCAAAAGCCACTGATAATCCAATTGGCATTAAGCTAGTATTGATCCCTGTCGATTCCTAGAATTTTTATGCAAGCACTATGTAGTTTGATATGAACACCGACATTAGACCTGTCCTTTCTGAGGACATGCAATCAGAAAGGCTTCACACATTCGATTCTGGAGCACTCTTGTCTGCCTAAGGTCTCTACGTGCTTTTATAGCTCACTTCATGCGTCATTATAGCCTCTGTACAGTGTTATACCTTACCAATCCTACCAAAAATAAATGATCAAGACCAGAAGCCCCAAAAAACATCATACATAAGATTCTATGTTATGGTTAATGATGGATTCCCTTGGTTTTAATGGGGCAAAGGCTGCCGAGGCCGTAGAATACCAGGAACTCTAAATTCTGCATTTTGAAAATTTGCTTAAAGGATATATGTAAAGGAAAAATTAATTTTGTTTTAAGCAGCCTAGATGGAAAAAGGATGTCATAAAACAAATTTACAACGAAGGAAAAAAATTTTTTTAGAGCTATATTTACGGCGCGAAAGCAATTTGTAGTTGGCACCTGCGGGAGCCTGCGGAAGTGTGGCCGCTATGGTCACAACAAGACTCAAAATTTCTGTTGGAGCATGTTGGTAAAATAAAGAATCAACAGGAAACTAGAAGCCATAAAAGATTTACTGTTTCTTCTTTCCTTCTGATGCATTGAGCTCTGCTGCAGTCGATTTTATGTTTTTAACTTAGGCACATTTGCTAACATATGTGCCATTAAAACTAAAAATATATCACTGGGAGTGAAAATTATTTGAGCGAAATTGCCGCAATACAATTATCAGCTGTATAATATGCTTTGAGAAAAGACAATTTTAAATGTGCAAGCAGAGCCACATTTCGCGAGGTCTGTTGATAAATTTCCTCAAATATATATTTTCTATGATTCTATTTTCCCTCCTTCTGCCCCAGCCTCAGGTAAAAAAAACCTGAGACTGGGGCACAAGGAGGGAAAAATATGCTTCCTGCTTCCCCCAGCTCGACTGCGCACTAACTTAATTTTTACAGTTGGCACTGCACATGTTCGTCTCCTCCTCCCCCCCCCTCCTCCCGGCGTCAACGTGTCCCGCATTTCGCTAGCAGGAAGGTGGTCACCCTACACAGAAGTGACGTAAGGACATCAGCACCGGTCGCTATGATACTGCCACATGGCGCCCGTTTTCGTTGCTCATGTGTCCCTGCTTAACTTGGCAGCGGCGGCGGCGCACAGGTCTACCACATGACCAGTGGCAGCTCCAGCGAGCACCAACTACAAATTCGTTTTGCAACATAAATATAGCTCTAAATTTTTTTTTGCTTGTTGTAAATTTATTTTATAGTGTCCTTTACCCGTACAGGCCGTTTAAAAATAAAAATTTTTTTTTCCTTTGCAGATGCCCTTTAGAAAGCTACTGAACCGAAAATTCGGGCTGCAATTATCTCGTCGTAGCAACTATAACGTATGTATATGCTGTACATGACGGTATTTCATAGAATAATGCATGAAAACAACACTTAAAGGCAAAAACCACAAAATATTGAATTGCGAGCTTCATGCATGTCGGTACGCGAAGGCTTACGCGCAGGATACGAAATACAAGGCCTGAAGGCAAGGAGGAAAGCAAACTTGCCTACATCACATCTCGAAGGCCGGCTGCAGGCCCAGCTCGATCACGATATTCTTTTCAAGAAATACAGGGTTTTGTTTGAGATACTGCAAGTGATTTTGCTTAAAAACATTTATTTATTAAGATATTAATGTTTAACAAGATCAAATGAAAGATCAGAGCTAAAATGAATAAAAAATCCCTAAGGTAAACTTGCAAGTTATAGCTTTGTTGCTTGTGGGCAACACCAGGCATAAAATAAGTCAAAGGTGGCTCCCTCGCGTAACCTCTGTGGATCATTATAAAATGTCCATAATAGCAATGCATGTGATAGCCTCAAGTAAACCTATCGCAAAACATTAGTGGCAAGAGAAAAACACTTTTTTCGCTTTTCTCAGTCGCTGCGTATTGCACGCCATCTTTTTCCTCGTCAACTATTTGTGTACCTTTTCAATAGATCGCACTGTAGTTTCTATCTTCAAGGCTGTTGCCAGACTACTAGACAAAAAAAGTGATAAAACAAACTATTCAACAATATTATGTTTGTTGCCCGTAGGCAAAAGTCGTCAAAAAAAAGCTAATAAACAGTTCCAACTAAAAAAAAAAAAAAATTAACCTTTTTTTTTTTATTTTTAGAATGAAAAGGTAGTTTTTAACCAGCTTGCCTGCAAACTTTTCTTTCTCGCTACCACTATTTGATTTTATGCTGATTTGTTGTGCATAGTTATGAGAGCAAATAGACACTTGAGCTCTATCAAAGCATTCTAATTCCTGGTCAGTTCTTTCTACAATTTTCACACACCACCTTCCTTGAAATTTTTTACTTTATGCCATGCCTCCCTTCCATGCTTGTTTTGACTCGAGACATCTGCTTTCGCTCATGAGACGATGGCAATCTTGCGTCACGTGGTTACTTATGCCAGCCAAAGGGTACAAAAGTCATTGAAAGATCTTTGAGACTTTGGCTTCGTACAGCCAAAAATGCATGTGACTTTTTCGATGAACTCAAGTACCGAAACAAGTTACTGGTGAGACAAAAGACGAACAGCATCACACTTGGAGACAAAGCATATTAGAAGGGCAGTGTGAGCAGAGCGAAGCCATCGTAACAAAACTCGAAAAGACATGTCCACTGTAGAGGGGAGGAGCAGAGGCCTGAATTTATATTTTTTTGCTCCAAGATCTCCCACTGGTTTGTGATTTCACCTAGAGCTACACCGGCTGAACACAACCCATCTGAGCCAAAGTAGACCGAGATATTACCCCAAGATTAGCTAGCATTTTCCACTCATGTTCTCCGAGTCTTCTGCTGCAGGGGGCAGTGACACTGGGTTTTGCAATGCTCCACGCTGCACATGTTGGCCTTTTCCAAGGGGTCCACCACCAATACTATGCTATCACTTGACAACCATGTAGGTATGTTTTTGACCAGGTCTGAGGAGGTATACGCCATGTACAACCGAAATTCGATGCCTTGAAGCTAGGCCTAATGCTCAGCGCTCCCCCTAACTGCCAAGAGCACCAAAGTGGATGCCACAACAAGCTTATCTACAGAATTTCTCCCCGTCCAACTGGAGACGAAATGAGCACAGATATGGCCACAAATGATTCAAACGGGTCAACCTCTCACTACAGTGACCTAGAATGGGGTAGTGGGCCCACCGCACCCACTTGCTGAGGTGGTTTCACGTCTAAATTTAGGGATGGCGCTCCGGTCGACTCCTCCTCAAGCTTTCCCGAGCGCTTCTGCGATCACGTGCATATGTGTGTCGGTGTTTTCTTTGTCAGATAGCTGGGAAGATTAGGAAGAATCGTAGGAACTGCATCTGCCGGAAGCATTGGCTTTTCACGCCGAGTGCGTACCTCTTCACCGTTGATGACGTGCACGTAACCTCTATTTATGTACTGAGGTTCAAAATGTAATTGGCACGCAGCAGAGGTTTCATCCAATGTCTTGTCCACTCGATGCAAGTTCTCATCCCACTGTTTTCGCCGCTCCTAGTCTTCGGGTACACCGAACAAAGGCAGATTAGGCATTCATATCACATGAGCGAATGACGTTTTAGCGAACAGCGCCCTTTGAGCGAATCGACGCTTATGCGAAGTAAGCGATTTAGCGAGCGACGAGAAGCGCCACGGAGATTTCTCACTGTCATTCGTCGCGTCGCTCGGTTTTTAGATTTCTAGAAAACGTCGCCCATCGTCTTGGTCGCTTGCTCCCGTCGCTTTTATGCGGTTTGCCTAGTCGCGCGGGTACCGAGCGACGGCGAAGCGGGTCACCATCGCTTGTCTCGTCGCTCGCCAAATCGCCTACATACGGTTCATACGGAGGTCACGTTAACCCACCCCCCGCGCTGCAATGCTCCACCGCGCGCAGTCTGCGGCGGCACGTTACAAAAATGTTAACCCACGTGGCCCACCCGAAAACGCCGCCTCGCGGTGGCCGACCATTCGCTAAAGGGTCTTTCGATGAGAAGTCGGCGTTCGCTAAAATGACGTTCGACCAACTGAGTGCCACCCCAACGATAAAAGATTGTCGCAGCTTTCCCCGATATTCTACGGTTTTGGTTCGCAGTTTTAGCGGTTTACCACTATGAAGTAAGAACGATTCATAAACGCACTTTCCACCCCAACTCACATGGTCCGCAACATTGCAAATTCCCACTGGATCAACAGTCACGTCCATCGCATTTTGAACGATAAATTCAGCTGATCTTCGTGGACTCAAGGCCTTCATGGTGGAACTTTTGGTCGGTGCGCTTATTAGACCGGGTAGTTGGTCCACTGGTTTTAGCGGTGCACACACCGCACACCAAGGAGGTTAGAAGCACACCACTGTTGCAATATTGATGAAGCCTAGTCATAAAAAGTTTAAACGATTTTGGGCCCAGCGTGACCGCAGATTTCTCTGGCGATTGGTGCGCGTGACATGTCACGTGTGAGATGGATGGTTGATTGTTGAAGGAGTCCTTGCAGGCTTGCGCGCGCTCCGTCCGGTAGGTTTTATCAGATCGAAGGCTAGACTGTGGTGTATTCTAGTACCCCACAGCAAGACGAAGGCGCGAGCGCCTATCCCACTGATCTCAATGACAATTGCTGGATCGCGTTTGCCCGCTCCGCGAATGCGGTCACTGGCGGCCATCTTTAGGTAGAGTTATATCACCTCTAGCCAATGTAAGCTGCTGCAGCCGCTATCATCCATCCATGGCAGATAGCGTTTTGGCAGGTGGGTTGGCAGGCTGCGGTCAAAATAGCGTGGGTGATATTGCGTGCTTGATTAAAATTATTTGACGAAACATGTTTTTGAAACCCGGCGTGAACAGTAGTCTGGTTTTTGAGGACCTGGTAAAAGTTTCACGAAATCGCAGCACCGGGAGAAAAGCAGCACAGCACGTATCGAAAGTCGCATCGAAAGGAGCATCGAAAGCAGACGACGGTACGGAGTCTGCTTTTGATGCGAGCTGCGCTGCTTTCCCCCGGTGCTGCGCTTTCGTAGAACTTTCGCCGGGTCCTCAAAGATGAGGCTACCGTTCACGCCGGGTTTCAAGAATCTGCTTCATCAAACAACTTCAATCAAGCACGAAATGTCACCCACGGTACAGTGTACTAGATCTACGGCTATTTTTATGGCAGCCTGCCGCCATTGCGCTGTCCGCCATATTACTATGATGGCTAGAGATGATATAACTCTACCTAAAGATGGCCGCCAGTGACCGCATTCCGGTCCATAGGAGGAGCTGGTCAAACGCGATCCAGCAAATAGACATAGAGATCAGTGGCCTATCCAGAGATCTGCCCGTGCCTAGATCTGGGGACAACGCCAGCGTAGGGAAAAGCGCCCGTAGGGAATCCGTTCGGGTGGTGGTGATGATGATGATAGCGTCACGTATGACTCGCACGCTGGCGCCGCCCTGGCCTCGCTGTTTTCAACGGTTCTCAGTTTGAACTTCGGATGTGGTTGCTCTGTTGCTTTTGTGAATGCTAGCGGCATAACGCCAACCCAGATAAGTACAAGTGCATGATTTGTGACAGGTGCTTCAAGAAAATCTACAACTTAAAGAGGCACCTAAAGGAGGTTGACTGCATTGACGGGACGCTGACACGAGCTGGATCACACTGTCCGCTGCCGCCTTGCATGCGATCTGTGTCCAACGGCTTTTGCGTTCCATTGGGGACTTGCTGCGCTACTTTGAAGCGAAACACGGGTTCGTCGCGAGGCGTGAGGAGTTAAAGTTCAATTTTTTGAAAGGTAAGTGCATTCGCTTACTTTTGTACAAAAGAAAAATCGATCACAATGTCTACCACTGTTACAAAACACGGTGTGGGCCGTGTTTTGTAACAGTGGTAAGGTGTCGGTAAGGTGGGTGTTTTGTAATTCAAGCTCTTGTTTAAAGACTAAAAAATCTGAAAAGAGACGACAATTCATTACCACAAATTTGCATCCGCACCAATGGTGACTATTGCGATTGCACAGAGGGATAAAATACACTCGTTCCTCTATTAGCACGAGTTGGCACATGAAATCCCAGCATATGTTGTCGTATAGGAAATTAATCAAAAGTATTGTTGGGCTAGTTTGATCATCTCGAAAACATTGCAAAATAAGAGGATAAGAACAGAAACGCAACGAGCGTTACCATCTAGTATCGGCCGACTGTTAAATGCGTGTTTAGAGAAGTACGAGAAGAAAGTTGGTCTGTTAATTTTCTTTCTTTCCTTTTTTTTCTTCTAGGGGGTTCGTTCATCTTTCTGGAGCATCAAAATGCTACATTGCCTTTCTTTGAATCTCAAAATGTTGCACTCTTTTCGATAGTAGCACTTGTCCTGTCCCTCTCGTCTTTTGTGCAAATTGTTTTCGAGATGCCTAAAACTTGCTGTGCGGTACGAGTTTATTCTTTCGTTCCCTTCTGAAAAGTGCTTTCAAAGTGGTAGTTTGTGACGTCGTATACAGAGCTCTTTTGTTCTGCAGGTGCACGGTCCTCAAAAAGTTTGCACACCAACTGCACTAATCAAGGCTATGCACGCTCAGCGTGCTCCCGGAGAGTTGGCAATCAGTTCATTGCATGACATTTCAGCGACACACGATGTTTCATCGACAGTTTAGATTAGCTTTTTTTCTGTAATAAGCTGCATGAGACTGTCGCCGCGACAGTCTCGTGCAGTGTCGGTAAGGTGGGTTAACATTTTTGTAATGAGCCGCTGCGAAGCGGCGTGAACGCAGGCAGGCAGGTGGGTGGGTGGGTTAATGCGTACCCCAGTGATACACGCAAGATGAAATGTCCCTACAGCGTGCAATTCGCATAACAAGCATCAATGAAACGATTGTGTCTACGAAACGCGTGTCCATGAAAAGTTGTCCACGAAACATAATTTTACGAAGCGAGTTTCAATGAAATGAAAGGGACCCCTTATGGAGTGGCATGCGCTGTGCAGAGCCGTATATTGAGAGAGTTTGGCCAGTGGGTGTGGCAACGAAGGCACCGAAAAGGAGAAAATTAAATGAAAGGAAGAGAGCGCCGAAGGAGCGAGAGAGAAAGAAGGGAGCAGAGAGGAGACCGCCATTTTTCCGCAACGCTGTCGGAGACTGCTCAGAGAAGAGCACTGCTGAGGCTATGCGTCGTCTGCTACGGGCCAACTTTTTCTTCTTCGCCTGAATAAACGTTTGTGGCCTTACGGTGAGAAAACTTCATTTATTAGCTTTTTAACCCACTGAGGAATAACAGTATATCATTTTCTTGCCAGAGCCAGCGATGTAAAAGGAAATAATCGTGATATAGATGCCGATCCCATGCATTCCGCCGGGAGATTGAACGAAAATGGCGGCCCTCCCCGCTCAGCTGGGAGCAGCCGGAAGTTCACATGCATGCGCTCATGCCTCTCGCTCTGCGCCGTGTGCTGATTGGCTCACTTGGGAGGAGGGCGTTACGGCGGCGAGATCATAGACTGACCAAACTCTCCCCATATACGGCTCTGACGCAGTGTAGCCGAAAACTTATATTTGACGTCGTAATTGGTGAATGGGAAACATGGGTATCTTGCATTTGCCAATAATTTTTCACCAAATAATTCTCATATTTGAATTCATGGGGTAAAACCAGGCGAGAATTCACCTCCAACTATATTTTTAGGAACCATTTCAGCTTTCTTTAAGCCATGTTACTTTACAAACACGACTTTCACATCAGGACATCAACAGGATCACCTCCTAAAGCACACCTGTGCATGGGAATAGCCATACTTCCAGCATATATACCTACCTTATAACGTCCTGGAGGAGGATTTTACCACATGCAATTGATTTAGCACTGAATTGTTTGTGCGGTAACATACTTCCTCGTTACGTTACGGTATGGTAGGTCAAGAAAGAGTTGAATGAACGTCTGAGCCCTTTCTAATACAAAATCTAATGTAAATTTTTATTCCTTCAGCTAGTGCATGTTCTCGTGCACCGACGCTAAAGCTTGTGGATAGGACATAAGCTTCAGCACAAACCTGGCACACCTGATTGTAGCGGCTTTGGCTGTTGCTACAGACATGTATGATGGAAGTATGGCTACCTGGGGAGTGGAGCAGAGGGGTCATAGTGTTACCCTAATATCCCGAGAGATAGCCCACCTAAAATCAATAAAAAATTGGCTCAAAATAAGGAGTGTGCTCACTTGCAGTGTGAAGCAATAATGGCTTTATTTGCCAGTCGGCAACGGTTCATTATGTCCCGCCATAGCTAACTCGACACTATAACTAGACACTTTATATCCCGCCATAGCTAACTAAAAGAAAAAAAGCAAATGAAGCCAAAAACTGGGGTGGCTTACCTTTCGGGGCCGGGGCATCTCAGAATTTTACGGTAAGCATATATCTCGCGTCTACAGTTTACATGGTACCAACATACTGGGGTTTTTCAGCTGCTCTTGTGACTGCCACTATGATGGGACTTGACTCTTTTCTAGGGGTGTATGAAAACTTTAATATTTGAATACAAATTGAATAGTAAGCTCTAGGATAATTCGATTCGCGAATAAAATTCGTAGTGTTTGGTTAACCGAAGATTTAATATGTTCTGTGAAAGATGCGCTGTCGACACGGAGCCAATGAAACTTGTGCTCCCTCTCCGTTGTAGTGCGCACTTGCATTGAACTTATGAATGTGCAAAACATTTTTTGTTTTGTTTTCCCGTCACTTGCATAGCAGGTGCACTTGCAAACACCACACATGTGGAGTGCAGTGAACTTGTTCTTGCAGACCGTAGTGTTTTGGAGTGCACCTACTATGTGGGCATTAAGAGCACGAAAAAACCATGGACCGCATGCTACAGCTAAAAGTCTGATCGGGATGTACATTTAGTGAAACAAACATGAAGATGTTTTAAAGCAGGGGAATATATGATGTGACTGACATACCACTCTTAATTCAGGCCATTTCATTTAAGCTTTCTTTCTTCTCTGCCTGCCAGAATTCAGTGACTGGAGGGAGGCTGAGGAAGGCAGAGAGCACGTTCACTTCGTTCTTCACGACGGGCCCAAGGGACGAGATGAGGGTGTCCTGAAAATGTATTGCTACTGCCACCGCTCTGGATCATTTCAGAGCAAGAGGTAAACGACAACTGAGAGCCCAGGGCACTTGTAAGACTAATGTGCAATGCTTAGCCACAATTCAAGCAACAGAGAAAGATGGCAAGGTGACAGTAGAGTACCAGGCAGAACACTACGGCCACTTGAAGGAACTGAAGCACCAGCGCCTCTTTACGACTGAGAAGGAGGCTTTAGCTGATAAACTAAAGCAAGGCATCCCCGCCCGTAAAGTTCTGGTAGACGCACATTCTTCCCCTGGCAGTGAGGTGGGCAGGCTACATTTGCTCTCAATGAAAGACATTGGCAACATCTCCGTCGAGCATGAAATTCTGACGAAAGAGCTACGGCACAAGAATCAGTGGAGGAACTGAACAAAGTCAGATTCCCCAGTCCTGTACTGACATGGAAGAAGGAAAACAAAGAGAGCTTTGAGCTTGCCCTGATGACTGTCCCTCA